GATTACGAATATTCGAAGAAAGATTGCAGAAGAATCGAATACTCCATAGCCTTGTTGAAAGCACTTTGGTATACGAAAGATTACCAGAAAACTATTGGTCACAGAAATGGTTATATTCATGATTTTAAACTAGATGATATTCCAAGTGCAATCAAAGCAGGTTAGCTACACAAACATTGACGAATATTCGTTATTCAATAAACAAGGTTTTTTTTAAATATGTGGCTCAATGTGTTCAAGCCACGGTATTTAATTTGCTTAAAAAGTCATTTCTGAGTGAAGTAGACATTGTTTTTACAGCTGTGTATCAAGAAAAAATTAGCAATCAGTCTCCAGGAAAAATAAAAGTCAAGCTGTTCAAAGTGGAAACTATTCCTCTTTACTCAACTCAAACCTATCAGAAATGGTTTGAATAAAAAGTACAAGAACCTCTGATGACTATGATGGACAAATTTGAACGTAACTATCCTTCTTACTCTTTCGAATTTATGACAAATGCAGTTGTCAGCTATTATAAGTAGCGCAGTTTGAGCATTATCAGATCATTCAGCACCAAACATTTAAATAATATGGACCGCTATCCAAACGTGAAGTACTCTCGCATTCTACAAATCAACAGTTTGACAACGGAAAGAAAAAAAACAAATAATCATATGTACATATATAATCATTGTAAGCATATAATCATCATGCTCATCCTCAATAATTTTTTAGTTGTCTATAATTTATGATAATAAATAGATTTTTTTTTTTCATGTAAATTATATCTCTGTTTATTTAATAAAGAAAGATGATAATAAAAATGCTTTTATACTTACAGACCTACACGTTCTACTGTTACGTCTCGTGCATAAACTACGAATAGCGAATGTGCGAAACGTACCAATATAGTACTAGTGGCTGGTTGAGGCTCACAAGTAATGAGGAATATACGATATATGAATAAGAATGAATGTGTTTTATTATTTTGTTGTACTTACAGTCTCTAGAGTACTTTCAGTATCGTAGATCTCGGTATTTGGATAGGTTAAATAATGAAGTTGCACGTTCTCACTTTTAATGGATCGCGTATTTATTAAGATCAAATAATATAGTTTGACAGGTAGTAATTGAATAGTTAGCGTAATTGTCGAACAGGCTTGCACGCGACTGTAGCGTCGATACGTAAAGTTTATTCGTCAATTGTCGAACTGACGTGTACGGAGTAACAATAAAAGATGACTGATTCTTTACAGGTGGTTTGTCTTATATACATAGATTTGTGCTTAATTAATCGCTGATGTTTCTGTGTAGTTGGGTAATTTTTCCTTTTGAGTTCAATGTGTGTTGTGTAATGCTGAGTATGGTCTTTGTATTTTGCTGCCGTGTAGTTTTCTGGTGGATGTGTACATAGTTTTGATTTTACGAAATTCGGGATTGCACTATTTAAAAAATGTAAATGAGTAAAGATACGTCTTGAGACGTAACACTACTCAATCACAATCAATCAACATAAAGCAAACGTAACGTACTGTCTTGATTCCCTTATGATTTGTTTAAATGATAAATTTTGTAATGATGGAACGAAGGGAAGTAGTGATAGATGAAAAATCACTTAATTTTAATTATATTCAGCAACGTTTCGTCAGCATATTTGCTAATCTCTTCAGGCTTTATTAATAAAAAAACACAACAAATTATTAACAATAGAGTTTTCAGAAGTAATTCTGAAAGCATATAATTATAAGTATATGTGTATACCTGATTTTTCTCATAGTCAAATTATTATAGGCTAAAACGAATAAATCGTGGCACAGTCAAAATTAAAGTGAGAAATCAAGTATTTCAACTCATATATATAATCTTCATCTATTGTCCCTTCCCCATCGATCTTAACAACAACTTATAAGTGTGACTAAGATATTGTATATCCTCTTTTCTATTTAACGTATGTTTATGTAAGCCAATGTATTATATTTCGGATATTCTTCGTTTCTTATAATTCTTTTCATAATCCAATATCTTAGCTTTTTTCCAGTCAAATTCGTGTAAGAACGTTCTTCTATTTGTAGCTATTACTGTATCTGAATCAATCTTTTTTTTTGTGTTCGTTTAATCTAATTTTTAATGAACGTTTACTTTCACCTATATCGACCACTGAACATTATTTGCAGTTAAAACTGTAGACAATACCAGTGTTGTCTAATAAATCAGATTTGTCTTTTCCTAAACGGATAAACTCTTGTAATGGTTTTTGTAATAACGGGATAGGCATAATGTTATGTTTTTTTAACACAGATGAACATTTTTTGAAGATGTTGCAATTATTAGGAATAGCGACTGTAGGTAATTTTTGATTTTTCAACATAAAGCAAACATTTTTTTTATTTTGGCATGGAACAAGGGGTATGGGCCCCGGGCATGGGGTACGGGGCCGGGGGCATGCACGTAGATACAAGAGTCCGTAACTGCTGGCGGGGGGCATGGGGTCTACACGTCGATATAAGAGTCGGTAATTGCCGGCGGGACCCATGGGGTCTGCACGTCGGTACACAGTCGGTCACAAACGATTTTAGTCAAGCAGATCGATAAAAATCTGTCGATAAAGCAGCTCACAGATCGTCAACATGTGGATTTATAACGATACCAATCGTTGGTAGAGTAGGCATCGAAAACTCGCATGGTAAGTGGCTCAGGATCCCCTTAGCCCCTACTACTCAGATTGTTTCAGCTATCCAGGCGTTAAGATATGACGATTTTGAAAATACATGGTTTCAAGGAGGATTAGGGGTCACGCTAACTTTGAATCGTTCCCACCCGTAAAATTTATCGCTCTTTTTGATTCTAGTATAAAAAATAGGGGTTCTTATATGAAAAAATAAGGTTGACCTTGAAGTAACCTTGAAAATGAGGTTCAAGGTCAAATCAGTGGTCACCGTCGGGTTCCTCGTTCAAAGTTACATAGGGTATGACCTTTGTTTCATGCATAAAAGGTTTCAAGTATAAACCTTTACCCATAGCGATAGCTTCTATTGTCTTATTATGTTGTTGAGATTCCATCAATTGTTTTTGAGCTGTCTTGGCATCATTAACACGGCCTTCACTATTCTAGCAGCACCTCCAGTAAGAGTACCAGTTGCACTCAAATCAGCAAATATTGGAATGAGAAATGGTATTGTACCACCAATTTTCGCTGAAACTGGCAATATTCAAGGCATGCTAACTCGACTTCTACCACCAGCCATCTTCACAGCTTATTTCACAGTTTTTTAAGCTAAATGAATAACTGGGTTCGACTTATTAGTCAGTATTGCTGCAGCTTTCGAAGCGGCGCTCACATATGCTTTCAGTGTAATATTCTTTTTCTTCCTTTTCAATCCAGCACCATTTTATTTTCCTCACTACTTTCTTATTTTTTTTCATAGTAGAGCCTTATTTCCTCTTGAGACCTATACAAATGTATTTTTAAAGTTCATAACATTTGCTACAGCGTATGCTGCTGCTTTTTCACCAAAGTTGCTGTATATCGTGTTCCTTGCAAGCTGCATCAAGAGCATTATTTACCCGGATAACCACTTGCCAGTCGTTCCGTTAGTCGAGTTTCTGGACCACACTACTGATAACCTCCTGGCAAATAAAGCTCGAATAGAAGTGAGTTGATGAATTTGATGACAATACAACGTCCTTGGCGTCTGCGATATTTGATCATCACTGTTCGACTATCGCTTTGTGACTTAGCTCTGCGGTATAGAAACGCTCATATTTATACCTAAAGCTCAATAGTAGTCGAGATATCTAACGATTCACATGGATTTCAAGGAGCAGTCGCTGAGACTTCTAATCGTCAACTTTGATGGAGTGGTGGAATAAGAGAAGCGTGAGAAGCGACATGGAGAGTTACTACCTAATAGTATACATGCAATATTCTGTGGTCCATCAAACTGTGGTAAAACAAACAGCTTACTCAGTCTGAATCACTCATCCGAATGGTCTACGATTTGATAACATCCTACGTATACTCTAAATCGCTCAATCAACCGAAATACAAGTTTCTTGAGAAACTTTTGTAGCAGATAGATAATGTGAATTACTTCTCATTCGGTGAACATGAGACAGACATCTCACCGTATAAAGGTCAACCTAACTCCATCATCATATTTGACGACATTGCCACTGAAAAACCGGACAACGTTCGAGCATTCTTCTCTATGAAGAGGGTGGCATACTCTATACAATAACACTATCGGTTACCTATACAGAATTATGTCACGAAAAAGTCCCTATTGCTTTGCCTATAGCGCCGAGAACACTGTAAATAGTCAAATAAATTCTCAGTCCTTTCCTAAGATACGATTCATTTATTCAGTGGTTAGCTTTGATACTCTCTTTTCCTATATGATTGTCTAAGAGCTCAACTCATAAGACCCTCTCTCTTATGAGAAAAAAGCAGTTTTAGACAATCTCTTCTTTGAATAATATTATTACAGCCTAGAAACTCGTTCATTGTGAATTTTTGTCGTATGGCATTTATGGCCTATCCCACGTAGATGCGATAATACTTTGTAAAATTTTAAACGATGTATCTATGTGGTGAATCGTATCGATATAGATTCTATTCATTGCTCGATGAATAATATTTATAGTTATTATTGAGATTTGTTTACTCTGGGTTATGGAGCATTGAGAATTGTTACTTTCGTGACTTTGACTCTGACTTTGACTATACTAGTAAACCATTCAACAATAACTATCTTTGTTATTTTCAATTATATATTCTCTTTGTCAAATTCTTGCTTGCTCTCAGGAATAAAGTTAAAAATTTATCTTAGAGTCAGAACTTTATTTTTGTAACGTATTATTGGAATATTGTTAGAATATGATTTATACGAAAATGAAGAAGGAATTCATAAAATGTTTAGTAAGAACGTAGGACGCAAAGTAGAAACCAAAGATAAAAAATGTATTAAATTAATTAGTTAAATTTTTAAAGGATAATAAGAAAGAAGAAAGAGATTCTTTTCTAAAATACTATTTAAATACTTGTTAAACAAATGTGTAAGCGTAAATTGAACATAATACAATATGTTAATAATTGATGTCAACTGAGCTATTGTGGTTTCATATATTTAAGTAAAACTGTTATATTTAAATTAATTATGTTCGCACCTTATGCACTCCATATGCGCACAGTGGTTCGGAAGCAAAAAAAGTTTCTTCTGGACTAACAACAAAATCTGTTTCGACAATTTGCACCATTTTTACTCAACATATACGAAAATACTATTCCGGAAATCGTTAGAACTTATTTTTTCAGAATACTTGCAAAAAAACGATAAAGTTTAAAGATTCCGGTATATTATAGTACGTATCATTCTTTAATTGCATTTCGAAGCCAACGGCATAAATGTGGTGATATATTCTGCTTTTAACTGGTTCTTATTAGTTGTTCGCAACTGCTTATTGTTGTATCCATAGTTAATCTCAAGGTCCAGTCCTCTATCAGCAACTTAAGGAGGCATTAGGTAGTGGTGATAGGTACCTACTGAGTAGAAATAGTCGTATATAAATATCCCTTAAGTGACCATATTATGCCTTGATAATTAACTTTCAAGAATAATATTGAACTTTAATGAAGGAACCAATACTAACAGTAACTAAATCACTATGGATAACTTAATAATTATAGAAAAAATAATAATATAACTAAATACTTGCTTAACAAATATGTTACTAAAATTTTAAATACGTAACGAGGCAAATTCAACCGTAGCATCTTTCAGTCTTCTTACGTGAGAAAAACAACTGATTAAGTTGGACTTATGTTTTTCCCAAAATTTGAAAAATTCTCTATGTATCGACTTACCAGTTTGTTCAAACGATAACCAAAACCTTTCCGAATTATCTAGGAATTCCAGACATTTTTTGATGTGCGATAGTAGAACATGTAGTTTGAAGGTTTTAGAAGTTTTTATAGCTAATAAAGCTTTCAATAATTCAGTAACAAGATTATTTATCAAATCGATTGCTCCTGATAATTTTGGCTTTTTTTAATAACTTCCTGCAAGCATTACCTTAAAAAAAATCACCATTATAGCATTTAGGAATGATCTTCATTTTCATGGGCCATCACAATGTCTTCTCTCGACTAACTGATAATACCAAACCATTGAAAAATAGATGATTCTCAAACCCCTGCAACACATGTAACTTCAGTATGATACATTCTTCAATGATATTCACACCATCATTGTCTTTATACAATGGTTGATTAACATTGCCATGACATACTTTCTACTGTGATTTCTTGCATTTCAAAGACAAATTTTTTCATAATCTTGTCACAGATTTTCAAAAGTTTTTCAATCATATTGGGTTGTCATCTGTAGCTTTGTCACTTACTATTTTACTGTTCTTTCTCAATTGTTTCAATCTAACAAAACAATAGGAGCTATTTATTTATTATTAACATAAGTTTAAAGTCACACGCAAATTTAAAGGAAAGATGATTTAATTTAGTCAATTTAAACAAAATTTTGGCACTATACAAAGTACTATATCAATTTCTTTATACTCATGTGGGTAAGAGATGTTTTTAACCACAAATAACTTCATATTGTTCTGTCTGGAATAAGATCATATGAGTCATTAAGAATGGGTCTTGAGAATCAAAGATACAATACATTTCATAAAAATTTTGTGAAAAACAAATTATACCAATGAAAATGACATTTCTGTTCTCACTATCCATATAGTTAATAAATTATATAAATATAATTCATAAATTGTTTAGTTAAAAGTATTTGCTGCTTTAAGGCATTTACAAGTTTTTTGTCCTTTTATAGAAGTGACGCAAACTGTAATGAATCTTTTAGACATTTCAAATATTAAAATGAGATATGATTTTTTTGTTCTGAATTTGATTAAGTTATACCTTATGAATCATGAAAACAATTTCTAATATTATAATTAATAATAGTACAATAGCTTATTACATTTTATCAATCATAGGCCTAATTAATCAATTCAATGATTTTATTATATGTATTAATATAAGCAAAATTAAAACAATTTTATTAACATGAGTATAAATTCAACTTTTATTCATCAATTTATATCAATAGTTAAAATAAACATAAAATTACATCATTTGTCATTTGTTAGCGTACGTAAATTAGTTAGAATATGAAAGTGCAAGGTAAGGAATGAATTTAATACTAATAAAAAATCTAATTAATAAAATAAATAAAATGAAAATATAACTTAAAATATACAGAAAATACAATAAACAAAGCTAGTTCGTTAATTTTTCCATTATGAAAACTTTCAAACAATTGATAGTATACACATAGCTAGAAGAATGATTACAGAAATAGGTTACCTAAATGATAGTAGGACATAACTTGCTTCCAAAACTATTTCTTTCGATAAATAATTTATATTTTTTGGAGTAGATAGTTTACAAATTTGTATTTTAGATAATTAGCTACTAGAAAATAAAAAAAAAATAAGCTTTTGTACTTAAATAATATAATTTTTATAAGCCGTCATTAGCTTAATTTATAGCAAAATTAAGAAGCAGCAATATTCTACACAATAGTCTTTTTGTTTAAAAAATAAAGATGGTTAATTTGATTTTAAAATATATATAATAAATTAAAACTTATTATAATATAATTAAATGCTAATCAAAACCTATAAAAACATTAAGTATTTTTCAAATTATATAGATGTAAGTATTAAATAATTAAAATTTTCATAAATATACAAAGTATACATACATAATTCCTAACTATATCCTTGTTTTTTAGCAATCTACGTTGAATGTGATTCACCTTGCCTTATTACAGATATACTTTATTTTTACCTATTGATTAAACGAAACTTAGTGAAAGTACATAAGATAATTCAGTTTACAATAACTTTTGTAATAGATTCTTCTTTTTGCGATATTTTAATCGAAGAGCAATTTAATAAATTTTATTTGTTTTTTGTTTGAGAAAAAAAAAGAAAATAATTAGGTTTCATAACTGCTAAGGGTGTTTACAGAATAATTCTGACACTTTGATTAACCACTCTAGATCAGCCCCGGAAGATAGCCAAAACCAGGGAGTAAGGCTCTCGCCACATATGCGCATACGCGTGCGTACAACGGCGTACAAACGCGTATAAATCGCTAAAAATTTTGATAGTGCCAACAACAGAAAGTTACTACTATTCCTCGCATGCCCCAAACGAACACACTTACTCCCGGAATAAACGTATCATAACCTTCAATAATATAGCGTTATGATACGTTTGTTCAGGGAGTGTGTGTTCGTTTGGGACATACGAGAAATAGTAGTAACTTTCTGTTGTTGGCACCAGAGCCGAGTTTAGACCTTTCCCGACCCCTGGGCCAAAAAGACGGCGGGGTCTACTTAGCTGATATTTTTCATGTTCGCGAGGCCTGGTTTCCACGGCGGGGCCCCGGCAGTGGTGGGTAGGTAAATTACTATAGGTAAAATACATAGTTTATGACACGTAATTTACTATGTATATTACCTCTCGAACTTTTAGAGTTTTTGACAACACGTTTTGACATCTTTTCGGCCATCGTCGTGGGATGACGCGCCGACGCGGTGTGCCGGTACAGCCGATGCGGTACCGGTCTAAGTCAAGTCTTTTAAAATCTGTTAGCAAAGCATGCACTCTTCCTGCAAATCCGCTATCCACGACACTTTTTGCTAACAAATTGCCGTTATGGCTATTACACGTTACATGCCAAATCCCAACAAGTTGACCCATGAGAATCATCACAGCTGCACCGTCACTGATAACAGCGTATATATTAATATTATATTTTTCTCTTGCCATTCCAATACATTCGTCAACCACTTTACGCAAAGCTTCCCCAGTTTCACGATGAGTACTGAAATTCCAGGTGTTCAAAAAAATGTACTATCTTCGCTGCATGTTGTCTAAACGAAGCATGGCAACAACATTTTGTTTATTGGCCGCCTTATTTTTCCATCCATCTATTAACAAAACTACATTATTTACACCCATATTGGCTATTGATTGCTGTAACTCGTTGAATCGATTACTAAGATTACTGTTGGAGAGAGTCTTATTACTTGAAATAATGTAATTTGGATTTAAGGCTTGAATGAAATTTCTAAACAATGGTGATTCGACTATTACGAAAGGTATGTTGCATCCAAAAAAAAATAGCCCAAGCAATCTGTCCAATTCATTACGATCAATATTAGCTAAAAAAAAATTATTATCATTATAAATTTGAATTCAAAACATTTTAATAAAGACTATTTTAGATCATCTACATTATTATTGAAAAATATCGTATATATACCTGCCATTTCAATAAATAATCCAAACAAGAAAACTAGGAAAAATCACTAATTTCTGAATAGTTAATAATATATGATTTTTCTGAAATATAGTATGATTCGCTTCTTCACTTTGGTATAAGATTTGAGGTGAATAACCGAAATTTTCAAATGAAGAATGATAAATTACCTGGTACTAGTACTATTATGACTGTTTAGTGTTTATTGTGAAAATTAATTTTACAAAAACTGTGATAATTGTTACATTTAGGTTGTTAATTTACTGTTAGAGATAAATAAATAACACCGGGCTTTCTTAGCGTCAAAGGATCAAAGGTCGAATTAAAAATATTCAAATTAGAATTTCAATAGCAAAGTACGTTGGTGTAACACTGCTGCGCATGCGCAATAGTATTTGGAAGTTTTTGACGTTTTTGACAATCTAACATGGTTTTTGACGTTGTTTACAGCTTCTGACATGTACATGTCGAAAACCTCAAAATCGTGTCATTTTCCCACCACTGGGCCCCGGCCTGGGCCCAGATAGGCCCATGCCTAAACTCGGCTCTGGTTGGCACTATCAAAATTTTTAGCGATTTATACGCGTCTGTACGCCGTTGTACGCACGCGTATGCGCATATGTGACGAGGACAGGGAGACTGTACACAGGAGGCGAGGCAGGCCTTAACCGCCCGTGTTAACCCATTAATGACCAAAATACTCAATTCTTTTGTCGATTTTCAACGCGTTTTTTACGGTAGACATAGGCCTAAGAAATTTTTGCAAATATATTTGGATGGAAAATTTAACGCTCTTTCAGAATCTTTTTTCAAAATTGCGATTGATTGCGTTATAAAAAAGTTATAGCCAATTAAATAATAAAATCCTGAAAAATTTTGCGAAAAATCAAGTTTGCGATTTTTTTAGCAATGTTACCGCTAAAAAATCATCAAACAAATATGATCAGAGGTGATCACGACTATCAAAGTATCTCCAGGAATTTTGGTGGAATTTTTGAACCACTTCTTCCAACAAAATGGTGGCTAAATAAAAAAAAATCCATAAAAAACATTTCTCATTTTTTATCTTAGAAACCATTAAGTTTAGATGAAAAATTCATTGAATAAAAAAGTCTTAGAATTAAACGAGAAATACACCTGAATTTTTTCAGAATTTTTCGAGGAGATTTTTGAATTTTCGGAGAATACGGAAAATCCATTTTTCCAAAATCATCTCCAAAAATTCTGAAAAAATTCAGGCATATTCTTTGATGAATTCTAAGACTTTTTGTTCTATAAACTTTTTCTCTAAACTCAATAGTTTTCGAGATAAAAAGTGAGTTAGGTTATAATCCTAGTAGCGTTAATATTTTTGATACAGAATAAAGAACAGCCATTCAACAATAATATAATAATGTTTTGCCTTTTTATGTGTATACAAGTGCAGTTTGTATTGCGTATACTAATATATACATATCAAAAAAGCAATTCAGAAAATTGTATGTGAGCTCATTTTTATTACTTGCTAGTCTCTTGTTATTTTGAGACCATGCAGTAAATCGAATCGAAAAGATTATTTTCGCTTTCTAAAGTCTAGGTTTGACAAGAAGCATTGAAAACTGTAGTAATTATTTTCATTAGGTATTTTTATTATTTTATATAACATATCGCTAAAACGTAAAAGACGTTCCACTCGCACCCATGAAATGTACGAAATTGATACTTCAAAGAACACTTACGATGATATAGTTACCCTTCCAAATCCTGACAATTCTGGTTCTGATGGATCAGATTTCGATACTGATTCGGATGGTGAAATTTCTAATATAACGTACACAGAAGCTTGTAAAACATATACTGAAACTCAAACTAAATTAGAAAGAACGCATGAACTCCAGTGGATGGAAGGAAAATAAAGTATAAATTATATTGATAACAAGTTTGGCAGAGCAATCCCTTAAATTTGGTAATTAAAAACAAACAAACCACATCAATTCTCGATAACGTTTCATCAGCATGGTCACTGACCTCCTCAGATCTTTATTGAAAAACATTATATAATAATGAAATACAAATAAATACGGTCAATACACAAACAATTAAAAGCTTATTTTCCCTACCAAATAAATATTTTCATTGCTCTTCAATACATTTTCAATCAGTCACATAATCTGTGTAACAAAAATTTGTTAAAGTCAAAAAATGATATAAAAACATAGTGGTCAAAACATTTTGAACTGAAATGAACTTAGACTGTGTTTAAACACAATCTAAGTTCATTTCAGTACAGTTTTAACTATTGATGTGATCACTGATTTGACCAAAATGCTTTGACCACTATGTTTTTATATCATATTTTGACTTTAACAAATTTTTGTTACATAGATTATGTGACTGATTGAAGATGTACTGAAGAGAAATAAAAATATTTATTTGGTAGGGAAAATAAGCTTTTAATTGTTTGTGTATTGACGGTATTTATTTGTATTTCATTATTATATAATGTTTTTCAATAAAGATCTGAGGAGTTCAGTGACCATGCTGACGAAACGTTATCGATAATTAAAGTGGTGTGTTTGTTTTTAATTACCAAATTTAAGGGATTGCTCTGCCAAACTTGTTATCAATATAATTTATATATAAAAATGGAGAGTACAAAAAATTCTTAGAAAAAAAGTATAATGATAATTTGAAAGACAAAATTTTATTGAAAGACTCGGTAAAAAATAAAATACAAGAAATGGAGCCAGTAGAACTGTTTGAAACATTTTTCTCAACTGAAATGAAGCAATATAATATAGATGCTTGCAAAGAAAATAATTTTGATTTAAAGGTAAAAGACTTACGAGAGTGGTCCGATAAGTACTTAGCTTACAAAAGAAAAACGAAAATTTTGGAAAAGTGACGTTTTATTTTTCAACATAGTCTCCTTTTAGTTCGATACACTTTGCCCAGCGATGCTCCAACTTCTTTAACCCGTTTGAAAAATACGTTTCCTCGAGGTCTGAAACGTAGGCTTCCGTGGCAGCGATTACCTCCTCATTCGACTCAAATTTCTGCCCGGCGAGTGACTTTTTCAAGTTTGGAAACAAAAAGAAGTCGCACGTGGCTAAATCTGGAGAATACGGTGGATGGGGCAGCAGTTCGTAGCCTAATTCGACAAATTTAGCTATGGCGACGGCGGAGGTGTGACCCGGTGCGTTGTCATGGTGGAAGAACACTTTTTTCTTCGCCAAATGGGGCCGTTTTTCCTGCAATTCGACGTCGAATCGGCCCAATAATTCGGCATAGTACAGCCCTGTGGCCGTTTGCCCCTCTCCAGGTAGTCGATGTAAATCACACCTTGTGAATCCCAGAAAACGGTGGCCATCACCTTTCCGGCCGATGGGGCAGTCTTCGCCTTCTTTGGAGCACTTTCGCCGGGTAAAGTCCACTGTTTCGACTGTTTCTTGGTCTCTGGTCTATACCAGTGGATCCATGTTTCGTCGACTGTCACGAAACGACGCAGAAACTTCTTTGGATTGCGCATAAACAGCGTCAGGCATTGCTCTGAAATTGTCTCACGGTTGCGCTTGTTGTCCGGAGTGAGCAAACACGGCACCCATCGCGCCAACAGCTTTCTCATGCCCAAAATTTCATGCAGGACATGACCCACGCGGTCTTTTGAGATGCCTACGATCTTAGCTATCTCGCGCACCTTCAATCGTCGGTCTGCTAATACGAAATCGTGAATTTTT